CACAGGTGTGAACCCCAAATGGTGAAAAGAAACGTGCCTAACCATAAGCACCATGGTAACCGAGCTTGAGGGCACGTTTCCCAAGAGCTGCTTCAAGTGATATGGGAACAGGTCATAGTTTTGATGACTTCAGAACATAAACTGCGACAAAGAATTATAGAAAGTGAATACATCGCTGTTAAAATATCAGAATTTGTATTTTTAAAAACATTCACAAACAGGAAATTATTTATTTAAAAAAAATAATGCGAATTAAAACATGGAACCGCTAACCTGAGAATTTTTTTAGTGTTAGAGGGTTAAACAAACAAAATTAGGCTTTACATTCATTTTAGTCTCTATGATTAATTAACAAAAAAAAGTGTACACCCCTTGTATGTATTCCAACTGAATATCCAACAGGATCTATTCCAAGATGCTGCTCAACATTGATACAAAATACACAAATTGTGAATGATCAAATGGAACTATGAAACACAAAATGTGAAAAGTCCCGTGCAGGGTCGTTACCAACTAACCCATCCCATTTAAATGAAAGATTATTTTGGGGTATTTTGTAGACTATAAAAAAAAACGCAGGATTGATGTGTAGGAAGACCCAAAAAAAATAAAATTGAGGGATCTTTCAACGTTGCTTCCTTAAGTCTAAGTTAAATTGATTGACATGTTAAAGACAAACAAACATTTGAATGTAACTACCTTTACTCATCTTTCAAGTCGATATCATGTGATGTTGCAGAGGATTTTTTTTTACAACGAAACAGAACACTTGAGCTTTCTGTGATGCTCTTGCTCTGAACAAGTCTCAGCTGAGTTGTTATTCGCAGGATCATGACATCAAGCAATGCAAATTGTGCTCATAGGCATGCATACGATCATGCATTTAAACCACATGCTCGAACAGCACTTGTAACATCTGCAGCAGGCTAACGTTAGCATGCAAGGCTAGAGCTGTACATTCGCTGCTAGGTTTGACAACAAAAAACAAATCAATGTAGAATCTGACTCGACTGTAAGATTAAGGACACAACAGACTCGTGTCTTAGTCCATCGAGTAAGACGTGACTATGAACGATTGCTGTCAGTGACTGTTTGAGGTCAGCGTAGTCTTCATGTTGTGCTAGCTTCCCAAAGTGAATCGAAGGGGGGGTTGGGCTTAACCCGCAGCATCCAGCCTTGACAACCGCGTAGAGACAGCTTACCTGGTTGTAGTGCACCCTGAACGGCTTCAGGTAATCGGACTCTGTGCAAGGAACGACTTCAATGTTGTTGATCTCGTCCATAGTTGGGCGCGCGGCGATGCTGGTCTGTCACCGCAAACACACGGACAGTGAAGGAATCCTACGGAAGCCTGGAGAGGGCAACACACCCACACACAACTGTCATCCGGGGACAACAGGAATCCATTCAGGGCGAAGACTACAATATTAGAAATGAATCTGTAAAAAATAATAATAATCTGGGGTTGAAATAAAGCATGATAGTGATTAAAATGCATTTGTGTTTACATGTTCAATCGTACAATCAATCAATATCAACATTTTAATTAAAATAAGAGGCCAATGAAGCCCTTTTCTGACCCCGACCCTACATCTGTGTGTGGGTTAGGATGATGTCATCCCCACGTATTAATAAAAGTTGTATAATGGAAAGCTATCTGTAGACACCCAATCTCAATTGAATGAACTTCCTTCGTCAAATGAGCCTCCCAACGCACAAGGGCAGGACGTAACACATTTGTGAGCTGATTTACATCAAAATAAATATAGGCCAAGACGAAACAATGAGTGCACCCGTAAGAGGAACACGGCGTCTCTCCTCTGGGCAAGTCCAATTTATACTGCCTGATCCGGCCAAGCTGCTGGGCACGATAAGAAGGGAAGGCCTGTTGAGTGAAGGTATTGTACTACTAAACTCATGTTGCAGTGGCACACTCAGAAAAGTGGCATAAATAAAACATATACTAGTGATGTGAATGAATACCAAACTGGTTCTTTGACAAATGGACAGGACTCCAAATGTATAGGCTCTCCATCACTGAATTCCTGAAGAAGAAGAAAAAGAAGAAGAGGTGGAAGAAGAAGAAGAGGAGGAAGAAGAAGAACAAGAAGTAGAAGAAGAAGAAGCGTCGTCGTCTATCCTCTTCTGGGCCTGAATGGAACGTCGCCCACAAAAAGAAAGTATTCCAAAAATGCTATCAGCTACTCCTGGGGCACCCGCAATGTGTTAATCCCATCCTTCCATGAACATGTGGGTGCCAGGCCCTGGAAGTCATGAGCAATTACAACTTGCAGGCACCTGACAGAGGCCAGGCTGCATCGGGCTTAAGACAAAGAAAAACCTGGAGCCTTCTCAAGCCCCCAAACTCTCTCTTTGTGTCTGTCTGTGTCTCCTCTTCCAATGTTTATTTTTAAAGTCTTGTGCAGTCATTGAATTGCTTTGTTTTTTCATAGGTCATGATACTACTTATGTCAATATACATGGAAAACATACTAAAATATTTTGGTTAATTCAGTCTGTAACTCAATAGACATAACAATGATTCTTATGAGGTAAACATTTTATCAGGTGAGTGATAATCATTAAAACTGCACAATAAGCAGGATGAAAAACAATGTGAGTATAAATAGTGCCCTGTCTGAATATGTGCACATGACAGCAGCTCATCTTCACAACAACAACCTAGATAAGGTGTTAACATGCGGGGGTACTACAGGTATCGCATCCAGCATTCCCGCAATACAAATAATGGCTAATCAGGATACGTTTTCAACGCAGCTTGGTCGCGTGCATGCAAAGACTATCGGAAAAGCTTTGTCATATATAACATGAGACGTACACAGACAGACATTTGTGACTGTGGGAACTTTGGACTGCTTCTTATTTTAAAGGAAATCTCTCCACCGGGCTATCCATAGCATAGTTTATCAGTAAGGGTCAAGCAGGGATTTGGGTCGGAGCCTCGGGGAATGCACTTAGTCAAGGTGGCTGTTGTTCCCCTGTTAGCAAGCTCGGGGTGTGGGTCACACAATAACCACAAGTCTGGATGTTTTGCCGCCGCTCACCTTCTCCGGCAGACCCTTCAAGACACTCAGCGGGCAAGCGTTTCAAAAAGAGAGTGTTAAAAGCGCATGTGATGAACATGACATATGCTGGATGATATGAGTGAAGATTGACAGGAACATGTTTATCAAAGAGTGATCAAGCACATCCACATACACGCACTGGAAGCAGTACAGCCAAGAGAAGATTTGAATTTAGATTGTAAATGTTGGTCAGGGCTTCTGATAGTGTTCGGGCCAATAGAAAAGGCTTTATTGGCCCAAAACACACACCACTGCCCTCTACACCAAACCGCTCAGGCTTTCACAAATCAAGACAAATTTGCAACATTTCCAGTTGAAAAATTTGTTGATTTGGCCATATGTCATAACCAAAGTCCCAAAACTGTTACGCGACGGTCATTGAGCCCTCAGGGACCACGAAGGCTTGATGCAAGTGGGCAGCTGCTGTGGCTCCACTATTCCCCTGCTGAGAAGGAGCCTATTTTAACAAGGCAGACCTATTGTCTTTTCCTAAGAATGACCAGAGAATGTGGTAACTTCCGCGCGTATGTGTGTGTGTGCGTGTGAATTGACTGCGAGAGGAAGAGAAGGGTGAGGGGGGACCAGGCTGTATTCCTTCCATTCACATCCCTCTGGGAACACATGCCACCAGAACTAATTACCTGCCTGCAAGGACCAATTAAGTCGGCCCCCTAATGCCACATAACGAGATAACTTCAGCTGTCCGGGAGGCGTACACGAGTGCGTCGGTAGGGGGTAGGGGTCTCTGATACCGATGACTGCAGGACACGAGAACACAGCGTTGATATTTGGAGTCAACTTTGAAGAACTGTGCTATGCTGTATATAAAAAAGGACAATGAACTATGGTAAAAGAGAATGTAAAGCAATAAACAGGTTTTATAATGAATAAGACTTACTGAAGTAGATGTGTAGTTTTTCAATGCAGGCACATATTCCAGTACTTTCACCATTTAACACACCGACTAGCCACTTTACCAGCCAGGTACACCAACACAATCCACAAGAGTGACATGCATTCATTCTCATCGAGAACGAAAAAATGGATGCACCCGAATTGCCCATCACATGTAAGAAAATAATACAAGTTCTTGGACCTAGGCTGGGAGAGGGTCCCAACAACACATCAAGTCCCTTTAGTGGCTTTCGATCTTCCGGAACCAATTTCTGCACAATACCTTACAATTGTTGATGGGACACTGATGAGGTTAGTACAGTGAAATGGTGCTTCTAGGTGTGAGGATAAAAAGATTTAAAGCGGTTGCCTGCAGCTAAATGATCCATCTAATAGAATTAGTACCCACTATTGACATTATAGGACCGTATAAATACCTATCAGGATAAAACTGTTACCTGGGAACGAAAACGTTGTCATTCATATTTATGACGTGGTTTATAAAAAGAGACATTGCAGTGTTTTTGTGTGGGCAAACAGTTTTGTGAAGGTTGACAGCTGCGTTGCCTGATCCAGAGAGGAGCCTTGGTTTCATAGACCATCGAAACATTAATTGTACACCACTGGGGTCAGCACTCTTTTATAATGTATTTTTATTTTTAGAGACATGATAATGGTCTTCTTCACCCGTGACTCAATATTTTGTCGAATAGAATCCTCAGAATCATATCAAATATCGCATTCTCATTTGGTGTTCCATACAGAACATGTGCTGAATAGTACCACAATTTGGTTTCTGTGTGTATACAAGCCCAAAAAGAAAAACATATTTGGGTACTTGGTGCCTCCACGAGCCTAAAGACAGTATCCTGAGTAATAGGGTGAATAGTATAAGAATGAAGTACCATTTTCAGCCATCCAAGGACGCTGGCGTTTTATGTAGCATCGCCCCCTGCTGTCGAGTGAAACCGACATCATCACCAAATGACGATTTGAGACAAACTTAACATATCCCGGGTCTGCTCGACATGGTTTAACAGAAGCCGTGGTTCCCTTTAAGGACAGGAGGAGGGAATAAATTGTCTCCTTTGATGGTTTACTCAAAGGTGACGGTTTGGAAAGCCAGCCACCTTTGACCTTGGATGTCAGGGCATCAGACAGAAATGCACACCATCCCACCCTCTCAGTGGCTTGTCTCTGTTCATTTGACCTTTCAAATAACCTCAGCATCGTGTCCGTGTCAGTCTTGAGTCACCCATCAGACAGTGGAACAAAGCAATGTCACTCAAATGCACATACTGTATTTTGCACACTTGACCTTACTTTTGTCGAGCAGCTGCGATGGAACACCTCCCTGGTCTGAAGAAATATTAAGAAAATTGTTTCATGACATTTATTTTACCAAGGATATTACATGCAAAAGGGTCTTTAACTAAAAGAGTTACATAATAAAGACATACTGAGTGCAGTAATTCGAGAATTCCACGCGTTCTTATGAAATCACCAACTTCAATACAGGTACAAAACTACGGTAAGTGGAAAAAGATCGCCATCTACGGGTGCAAGTGGAAACTGTAAAGTGACTCATTGCAGACAAAAAAAAAAAAACCCACAGGCACTTGTAAAAGTGCACACTGTACATATTTCAACCAAGTAGATCACAATTAATCTTTTTGACAATTTTTGTCAAGAGCTTCTTGGCTGGAGTGAATGATTCCACAATCCGCTCAATCTGCTTGGCCCTGCGCACACAAACAAGAGCAGGAACATTTTCATGAAATTTAGAGGGCTTTTTCTCAGGGGTGTCCAAAATTTGCCACTGATTAGGAGGAATAGCAATCAGCGTGACAAAATTAACCACACAGTTACAAAACACCGAATAGTCACGGGTGCCGAACACCGAGGTGCGTCTAAATGGTGGAATGGAAGGAAATGAGAGATGAAAACTAATTTTTTTTCTGCTCTTCCGTCTTGTCACCCAGTGGAAAAAGTAAACAGTACAATGCAACCAAACAACATCGGTCATGTCAATTATTTTATGAAACGCAACAGGCCTCTTAAAAAATGGATAGCGCCGTAAATAACCCAGGGACACAGTTTGGACACCCCTGCTTGAACATATTGTCTTAAACAGTCTGAAGAACCTTCGTCATACGTACGTTGTGTCTCCAATGACGTTGTTGAAGCCATGCACTTGAAGAACATACAGGTGGTTGGCTATGGTGACTGACAAGGTGACCTCAAACTTGCAACGCTTCCTCAGACTGCTGAAGACAAGATTTACTCTAGGAAAAAAAAAAAAAGACAACATTGGTATTTGAATGAAAAATGCAGCAATAAAAACCGACAACAATTGCAAACTATACAAGTCAACACTAACTTACCGAGTGTCCTCACAGCGAATATCCACGATATTCAGCCGTAAACCTCCCCACATTTTCAGCATTCGTAACTCCTCTCCCAAGAGGCGGCAGGTACTCACCACCGAGGACACGTCATGGAGCAACTGGACATAATAGAAAAAAAAAATAGATGAGAAACAACAGTATCTTGCCACAGCATCAACATGCAATTCAATTCGAAAACCAATATTAGAATGAGATCCCGCCACACAGACCTTTGGAATGCAGCTACTCGTTGGGTACCTCTCAACCCAGGCCGTTTCACCCTTGATGTGCTGAGAGAGCAGTTTGTGAACCAAGCACGCGTGGCTCTCTGAATCCTCATCTAGTTATAGAAATCAAGCATGAACAAAAAGGTCAAACAAATTTGAGAAGCACAAAATGTGTTCTAAATAAAAAATGTTAAAAAGTAATCTGGCATGACGTGTAAAATGATAGTTACAGGGTGGATGAGACTGCAAATGATCATACTGTGTCTCAAGCAAACTGTTTTCATGCATCCCCACAGTTCATCCCAACTTTTGCTTCCCTTACCATGAAGAAGAAATTGGAAATTCACTTGTGCAGTTTTATGCTCAGGTTCCTTTTCAGCGCTGTTTCCTACAAAACAAAGACGGCGCATTTACAGTTTCTCCAGCATTCCACTCACATTTTAAAAGCTCACCCGGCACCCTAACGATGATATAGGAAATGGAAAGGCGTTGGAGACTAGTAAAATACATGACTTCTCCTGACAAGGCAAAATAAAATAAATACCTGCGTGCACCAGCTGCAAATGCAATGTGTCGTAGAGGAAAGTGTACACGGTGTAGTTTTCCGTCTTTTCTCGAAACCTCCATTCAGTCAGCCTGAGAAAAGACATTTGCAAAAAAAAAAAAAAAAAAAAAACATGGATATCCTGGTGTCTAGGCAAACATCCGAGGAACAGTTGACATTTTAAGTCGCAGCGTCATGTGGCGTAAGAAGCCATGAAAAAAGAAACTGACGTATGAAGCGTGCCGATGAAGCTCTCAAGGTTTCTTGTCTCAGCTTTCAGACTGCTCAATTTCCCTGAAGCCTGCTTCTTTTGCACCTCCAGCTCATGTATTTGTCTGTTGTAAGGGGGAGAAAGTAAATACTGTACATGAAACAATTTTGATTGTTAACTGACAAAAACAACAGCGCATGTTGCAAAAGACATCGAAGAGTCTCGATCGGTTTACCGGTTTTTGTCATCCAAAGCCTCGTTGACGTTCTTCATTTCTGTAGAAGAAATCCCCATTCATTTCACTTCACAACTGGACTTCAAATGTATATAGTATATGGAAATGAACACATACAGTGTGGTAGCTTACCTTCCTGGAGTGACTTCAGACTTGACATGTTTTCAGTTCCTTTTTCCTCAACTGCTGCTAGCTCTGCGTGTCGGGGGATCAAAATATTACAGTAGTGCCCTTTCACCCTCTGCTACTGCCAGGGGTCACCAACATGATTTTGCATAAAATAATTTGAAGAAACTACAATGACTTTCCGAAGTGTGCATCAAGCTGCTAGTCTGTCATGTGAATGAGTACCGAAGAAGGCTCAAAAAGGTTGGTGACCCTTTTGCAATAGATAATGCCATAAAAAAACTAATACCTTAAATAACACAAATAAAATAAAATATCTAATTAGGTAAAATGAACACATTGAATAGAGTCGTGAATATTTTTTCAGGGACTGCATTACCTGCTTCCAAATCACCAATACAATTGTCCAGAATTTGGATCATCTCATTAGATTCAACTGCACTTTTGAATTTCTGTTGCTCGTCCTGAAAAGAATAAAACCTCAATGTCAGGTGATCTCAGCCTTGAGAGTACACATGTTTTTTTTTTTATTTTAAATGTGGGATTGTCGAATTACCGCAAGAGTCTGTACAAGAGACGAGTACAGGACGGCCTTCATTTCATGTGCGCGGACTTTGCTCATCTTTCTGAAGAAATTGTTTCTTTCTTTTAGCTTCACGCCCAAAGCTCTGATCTGTTGACTCAAACAAAAGCAGTCAATGCACGACTAAATTCACTGAATGCCCACATTGTGGGGGCTCAAGCGGTTGGCTTTCAATATGGGAAGGGCTGGTCCTGTGTTGGTAGATTTTGCAAGCCAAATGACAACAAAAGCAAAGAAAAAAAAGAAGAAAAAACAAAAGGCAATACCTCCTTTTCTGAAGATTTTTTCACATCTGCCCACAAATCATGATTGATCACCTTGAGAGGTTTGTTTAAGTCCAACATTCTGCAATTCAATCTGAGAAGACATAGGTGCAGTATGACCCGACTGGACTTATGACTATCACAAAAATAATAATAAATACTCTTACCCTTCCATCTTCTGAGAGACAATCTCGAAATCAGCCTCATAGGCAATTCGTTTAGGATAATTTATATGTTTGTTTTTTAATATATCCATTGCTGAGCAACCGGTGCCACGTGGAACCTGAGCACAATAAAAAACAAATTCATATTACTGCATGACAGTTTTGTTTTCATCTTTTTGGGTAGTGTAAACCTACCCTGCCGGGAAGGACGCTTTGCCGGGGTTTATGGATCACAAAGTCTATGTTGAAGAGTTTAAAGAACTCTAGCGCCGTGATGCTGCCATCTTTTAATTTCTGTAAGGTAAACGACAGGCACTCACAGGGATTTGGTGGACAAACAAGTAAGAAAAGCATAAATTGAGAGCTAGAAAAAAACAACCAAACAAACCTGCATATCCCGGTCTTCAAGGTGGGATTCCAACATGCTGTGTTTAAAAGCTGAAGGCAACAAAAGAAAGTGATGTCAAAAAAAGAAAAGACAAAAAAACTTGTGCAAGGAGAGAACTTACTGGAATTAAATGTAGCATCACTTCGGCTGCTGTTTGAGAGGCTACTGTTGGAGGAATCCATCGTCTGGTTTGATGATGGAACCGTGGTGGTGTTCCCACGATCGTATTCCGGAACATGAGCGGGTATTTCCTGGTGGGAAATCAAAAGTAGAAATGTTTTACCATCTGAAATATGTAGCGGTTGCATGCCAGGTTTTGGAGAGGGATTCACTGCATGTAAATTGACGTACCGTTGCAACAGCCTCCGGTAACATCACACTGGATGCCTTCATTTTCTTTTCGTCCCCTGTCTGGTTTTCGTCGGATGGCAAGCGTCTCTTTATCCCTTGGGCGCCGTTTGGGCTGTTTTCTTGAAAAACATTGTCCGGTAAGGTTTTATCGATGTTGAAGTCTTCAAAAGGGATTGCGTTTTCCGAGATTTTGGTGTCCGATGTGTCGGATAAATCTTCGCAGCTACCAAGCTCTTCATCATAAATGTCACTCACTTCGTCATCATTCCATTTGTTGAGTGTATTGGTCACGTCGGTTGCTGTCCTCCTTGTTGATTTTTCCTGAGAAATGCCAGAGGCGGAGTCTGCCTTCTTTGGTTCGTCAGCTCTGGTTCTTTGTGGCAGTTTTGGCTTAAAGCCTCTCATGGACAGTCTCAACATCAGCTCTGGAGTCTTCAACTTGAAAGGCGTTCCCACAGCGGTGTAGCCTTGTGGACCATATCGCATATCCTCATCCTCTGTGTCTCTTAAAGCCGGTCGAACATCCGGCACAAATTCAGACTCATTGTGCTCCTCTTTTGTGTTTTTGTCAGTGTCAGGCTCCAAATTAGCCTCAGAGGTCGCGCTTACCATCTGGCTCAAGCGCCTTACTTTTAACTGGAGATCAGCAATGCGGAATCGTGCAGACTGACTTGAATCTCTGCCATCGTCACCTGCACCGGGTGAATTTAACTTCTGTGACAAAGAACTGGTTTGATTCCTTGATTCGTCTTCTTTGCGACTTTGGGTTTCTTCGGAGTTGACAGCATCTGGACTTTCCTCTACATCTCGACCAAGCTCTTGACTGGTCTGCTGTGAAGTCATCTCTTGGGTGCCTCGAACATCAGCATATGGGCGTTGTGTTGATGAGTCTGTTTGAACATCTGTCGCGTTGATGCTTACATCTACTCTATGTAAAGTGCCGTCCGCGTTCTTTTGTGTACTTAAAAGGCTGTCATGGAGAGTAGTAACTCCTGGGACTTTGTATTTATCATCCACATCCAATGTTTTAAGTTGGGCTGGCATGAAGCAGTTTGTGTCAACAGCTTCTGCAAAGGATGGTTCTGCCGGAGGATCTGCTTTGGTGACCACGCGGTGAGGCCAAGAGAAATCTGTATTACAAAAGATATTTTGTCCTGGATTGAAACGGAGTACTGATAAAGATCTTTTTCTTTGCGTCACATCCATCGCCGCGTCACTTGCTGAAAACCTGATGGTTTTGTCTCCTCCAGTAGCTACGGAGTGATTTTTGTGTGCTTCTGGGTCCAAGGGAGTATCAGTCATTGCAGTGAGGCTTTGCGTCATATCCATGGCTGCGTCATTTGTTGAAAACCTGATGGTTTTTTCTCCTCCTTGAGGTACAGAGTTGACTTCTTTGTGCGCGCCTGTTTCAGACCGAGTATCAATTATTGTGGTGAGGTTTTGCGTCATATCCATGGCTGCGTCATTTGCTGAAAACCTGATGTTTTTTTCTCCCCCATTAGGTACAGAGTGGGCTTCTTTGTGCGCTCCTGTTTCGGACCGAGTGTCAATTATTGTGGTGAGATTTTGCGTCATATCCATGGCTGCGTCATTTGCTGAAAACCTGATGTTATTCTCTCCTCCAACATGTGTGAAGGGGACATTTGTGTGTGCTCCTGCTTTAAAGGGAGTATCAATCATCGCAGTCAGATTTTGCGTCATATCCATGGCTGCGTCATTTGCTGAAAACCTGATGGTTTTTTCTCCTCCTTGAGGTACAGAGTTGACTTCTTTGTGCGCGCCTGTTTCAGACCGAGTATCAATTATTGTGGTGAGGTTTTGCGTCATATCCATGGCTGCGTCATTTGCTGAAAACCTGATGGTATTCTCTCCTCTAGGATGCACAAAGGGGACACTTTTAGGTGCTCCTGCTTCAAAGGGAGTATCAATCATCGCAGTCAGACTTTGGGTCATATCCATGGCTGTGTCATTTGTTGAAAACCTGATGGTTTTTTCTCCTCCTTGAGGTACAGAGTTGACTTCTTTGTGCGCGCCTGTTTCAGACCGAGTATCAATTATTGTGGTGAGGTTTTGCGTCATATCCATGGCTGCGTCATTTGCTGAAAACCTGATGGTATTCTCTCCTCCAGGATGCACAAAGGGGATACGTTTAGGTGCTCCTGCTTCAAAGGGAGTATCAATCATCGCAGTCAGACTTTGCGTCATCTCCATGGCTGCATCATTTGCTGAAAACCTGATGGTTTTTTCTCCTCCATTAGGTACAGAGTGGACTTCTTTGTGCGCTCTTGTTTCGGGCTGAGTATCAATTATTGTGGTGAGGTTTTGCGTCATATCCATGGCTGCGTCATTTGCTGAAAACCTGATGGTATTCTCTCCTCCAGCATGCATAACGGGGACACTTTTGTGTGCTCCTGCTTCAAAGGGAGTATCAATCATTGCAGTCAGACTTTGCGTCATCTCCATGGCTGCATCATTTGCTGAAAACCTGATGGTATTCTCTCCTCCAGCATTTATCAAGGGGACACTTTTGTGTGCACCTGGTTCAAAAGGCAGGTCAATGTTTATGGTAAGACTTTGGGTCATATCCATTGCGGCGTCATTTGCTGTGAACCTGACGGTTCTCTCATAACTGCTAGGCAAACTGTCCAGAATTTTGTGCGACTGTATTGTGAAAGTACGAGGCGTATTGACAGAGCCACTTTGAGTCACATCCAAGTTGGAATTGTCAGATGTCAATCTCACTGCCCGCTCTCCGTCGTCCTCTTGTGTGGCAGAATGGATCTGAGAAAGACCGATATTTTAAGTTACATCATATTGACATTTATTCATCTAATTCATCCACTCCAAATTTTGTTTCAGTGGAGACTGTTGTACCATAGTAGCAACTTCCCCATCTTTTTGGAGCCAAGGCACATACACTGCATAAGAACCGCACAACACAACGCCAAAGAAGGTTCACAAAAGTGGATACACAATTTAATTAGGTACCTTCTGCCATCTAACGGACGACCATTAAATTGTTCAATCTGTCACTATACGTCATCGATACTGTCGATGAACAACAACACAGAATTGGCAGTAAATAAATCATTTTCAGACCAGGTAATTGACATGGATAATTTCCCACGGCACACTGGCTGTGAGTCACCTAGCTCCTAGCAGATGTCATGTTCCTCTTTAGACTGCAGAACCCAGTTAACACACTCAATTTTGTCAATATGCATTAAGAAGCGATTTTCATCCCTTGTTCTTCAGCGCAAAAAAAAACAAAAATTAGTTTAAAAGTTTACCTGAGTTTTCAAAGACCGCTTCAATGGGATTTCCTTTCCTAAATACACAGAAGAATTTTTTTTTTTTTTTTTAGCATTTCAGTTGTAAATATCACTGGAAATTATTTGAATAGTGATTTTGTTGTACAGTACCTGTGTTATAAGATGACCTCTGTTCATCAGAGAACAGCTGATGAAATGTGGCTTGTTGACCTTTAGGGTGTATTAATTGTGTAGGTAGGAGACATCGGAGAGGCTCATCAATCCGTGTAACATCGTCTCTATGAAATTTTGTCATATTCATGCTCAGGTCCTCTTTGGGACACATTGGATCTCCGTTGAAAGGTTGCTCATTTGCCCTAACCAGAGGGTTAACCTGAGTCATTCTGGCATGTCTAGGATTGACTCTGGGGCCATCTGTTTTAAAGATGTTTGCAAGGAATTTTTCAAATTTGGGGTCCAAACTTATTCCAGATGAAACAGGGTGCCCAGTAGTAGCTCTGTGTTTCTTTTCCATTGATGGCGCTAAAAGGGCTGTTTTTCCTTCACAAAGAAAATGGTTGAAATTTGGAGCAGGAGGAGGGGACAGCGCTCCTGTGATTTTAGCAGTACAACTCTGCGCCATGTCCAGACAGGCGTCATCTGCAGTGAAACCTGTTACTTTCTCTGTGGATTTTTCTTTAGAATTGTCCTAAAAAATAAAATTACATGTCATCACATAAACAGAAATGCACATATTTTCAAGTAATCTGGAAGCAGTTTGAAAATTAAAGTATGGTACGTAATGTTAAAAAAAAAAAATTGTGTGCACATTAAAAATGGGTTGAATCTTAGTACGATGTTAGAGTAGCGTTTTATGCAGCATTTTAAAACTTACCCGTTGCTCTTGAAGTGCATGAAAAGAATGGTTCTTTAAAGCGTTTTTATCTAAAAAGGTAAAACACAAGTTAATATAATGAGAATTAGATGACTCCAGCTGATCTGGCTAAACAATAAACAACCTACCAGCTATCTGAAGGGTCGCTTCTTCAGCATTTTCCTTCTCCAACCTTTTGGGAACCAAACACAATATTAGCTCCCAAACATAATTTTATAGACAACAAGATGTGAGGCACAACGATGACAAAAATTCTGACTGGCAGTTCTTGAGATATAATGAAGTAAAAATGACTGAGTGAAGTGAAAGTGTAATCAAACACACCTGTTTCCAAACGCTGCTGCCATAAAGAAAAAATAAAGTTATTAAACATGTTAAAAAGCTACTGAGAAAAGTGAAATGAAATTACTATGAGCGAGTCAGTTGGAAACGAAACGTGTTTTGTTTGGGGGGGTGGGGGGTACCTTTTGGATTGGATGATCCCAGTGTTATTCTGGTGTGTCTTGCTTGTGATGCAGCATCACATTGGGAATACATTTCTTGCCGGGGAAAAAGACACTGAAAAGGATCATCTGGGTCATCATTCAATCCTGCAACGTGGCCCGTGTGAGTAACTGTCACATCCATCTTGCCATCGTCAGAGAGTCCATTATTCTTGCCGTTATGAGGTGATTTCCCCGTTTCAGAATGAACCAAAATTGGAGCTTGATTTTCCTTGTCCACATCTACCATCTGGGTTTTAATCGGGGACATTTTAGTTTCGAATGTGGTTTCGCGTTGTCTCACACTTGATCCGTGTGACTTTGAATGGAGCAAGTTGTTGAAAGAAGGATCTAAAGTGAGCACTGATGACATAACACTAAAATCAGTGATTCGGCCAGTGCATGACATTTCTAACTCTCTTGCGATGTTCGCGTTGTGGCTGAGGCTCATATCCATGGATCCGCCATTTGCTGAGGACATTGTACTCTTCTTTCCACAAGAAAGCAAAGTGGGTCTACTTTTCTGTGTGCCGTCTACACGATAGTCGTCAGTATCAGCAATGTTGATAGTGTGACTCTGGGTCATTTCCATGAAGCCATCATCCTCATTATACATCACGGTTTTCTCTCCAAAGCCTTCCCCAAGTTCAAAGTTGGCCTGAAGATGAGTAAAGTGTGAATGAATGGACACCCAAAAGATTTGAAAAGCATCTTTGACGAACATTACAAGGGTTCACATTCAAAATGTAGCAATGGTATAGTAATAAAGATAATCTCACATTTCCTTTTGGTTCATAGGCATGAAGAGTTGCGCTTATCAGTGGTTCCATTCCTAGATTGATTTTGGACACACATATTTACAATGGACGCAAGAGCAAAAAGCAGTTGAACAGAATTTTAAAAAGACGAACCCATTATTTGTTGAACGATCCCCTCTTCACCAACTGACACCTGGACGCTACAACGTGGCAAATGAAAATGCTAAATACATGTTTTATTTTCGTGAAATAAGATCTTCCGAAATAGTCACTTTACCCATTTTGCGCTGGTATCGCTGCGAAGAAAAAAATTACAAGAAAACAATTACAACACTGCTGAATGTTCAGTATGAAATAACTTACTGCCGATATATTTATGAGACTTGACATACCTGTAGACATTAACTCTTGGAATGGACCGCGAACGGGGGAGGCATGTTTCGCATCCCTTTGGAAAGAAAGAAAGTATTAAAGTAGGTAGTTGTTTTAACACAAAGATGTGTGTTTTCAGTGTTTTACTTGGAATAAAGAAGGACATCATTGGCTGGTGCAAAGCTAACCCTTCTGGAATTTCTTTTTCCTACCGGTTTGGCACACTCAACCTGAATGAAGATAATACATAAGAAAAATGTAGTAATATTCGAGTAGAATTTTTAAGGCAACAAATCCATTTGCCTCATTTTCCTGTTGCTCTGCATCTGAGAATCTTGTTGATTTCCGTGGGTCTTTAAGGATCTGGAAAATTAAAATATAAATCAATTAGAAACCATATCATAATTGTTGTAATTGCACATTTTTTTCTCCATAAAGTATGTAAGAAAACAAACTGGAGTTTGTCGTCACCATTAGGTCAGTGGCATTACTCACAGAAGAAATGCGTCTCCTGGAGAAGTATCCACTGTTTTCACTTTAACACAAAACAAACAAGTCAAATCACAAAACTCGATCAGAAGGTGTAAGAACATCGTGTTGAGTGTATCAAACGTGTTTTGACTCACTCATTCTTGCCAGAGTCCAAGAGCTCCATTTTCAACTAAATTAGAGAAAGAGGACTGTATTCATTGAATGATGTACAGGCAACATTTCATTGGCAGTAACCCTTTAAATTATGCTTTTTAAAAAAAAAATCTCTTCAGAAATCTTAAAAGCAAAAGTTAATGTTCATGTTAATCCTTTTCTTGTCGGGGTGAACAGTTACAAATTTTCCCATAAATTAGGTGGGTCATTTCCTCCAAAAATTAGTTCTTATTTGGGATAAACTGTTGTGTAACAAATAATATATACGCTAACAAATGGCAAATAACTATGTTCATCGGGTTTGGTGTTCCTCAAAAAGACACCAAACGTTAGTAACTTTCACAAAATCAAATTCGTGTGCATTGGTATTTGGCTGCTAGCATAATAGCAACCATTAATAAAGCAAAAAATGCAAATAAATAATAAAGTCAGACATACCTCTCAGTGGTGACTTGTGAATTAGTAAATATTGTTAAGCGTTAACAAATAAGTGTAACCATAACTTCAAAGGCTGAAGATTTAAAGCGTAAAAAAATAAACTGTGTTCGATCAAACGTCAACGAGAAGTTAACGTCGTCTGGAGTTTTGAATTTAGCCGCCGCCGCGCATGCGCAGTTAAATCCTGCCGTTGGTTTTACCATAATTTATTTCGATTCTTTGTTCATTTGGTTTGATAATGAGAGATTGCAGAATTCTTTACAAATCCTAAAAAAAATTAAAATGACAAAATATTGAAAAATATGTCATTTTTAGTGTCTGAGAGAGGTATACCGGTAATGACGCAAATAACGGAAATACAATCCGGTACTTGCCTCTTTTTTAAAAAAATACTGAAGCTGACTCTTTGACGGCGCATTTTCATGTAGCATTCTCTACGGTAGGATATATTTTGAAAGTTATTGTGTGTTTGGAATATACAAAGTTATGTTGCATTATTTTACCCTTAATATAGTGTTGCACCAAAATGCTGCATTTGGCGTTGAAAAGTCGAACTGCGGTACAGTATTTCGCAAAATTTGTACTTGGGAGTTCTCGCGCGATTGACGGTAAAAATAACCACTTCCTTGGCTTGTTCATTCTACTTACAAGTCTATATATACAGTACATTTCCCTGAAAAAAGAAACAATTGAATTAGTTAAGTAATGAGATACCTTGTCGTGTATGTGCATTTTTCGCAATATTCTTTGCCTAAATGATGACTCAAATAACCTCCATCACCAAACCAATAATTTGTCATCACTTTTGCAGTTGCTGGCATTTTGGGTAGGACAATGTCAAAAATTCCCAGAGGTCAGCACAATTGGTCGCTTTCTTTACTTTTTTATGTAATTGATTTGAACAACATATATTTAATTTGGTATCATTTTTTTTCCCAGCAGGACAGCTCCATACAGAGCCAAAGAAATCCGCGCATAAAAACGAAATGAAGGACACAGCAACCGGATGTGCTTCAGCAAAGACTCACCAAAAAGATGGTGGCCTAAGACAAAAAGAACACATATCACGGTGAGAGAACTTGAAGAATGCTCCTGAAAATGGATAATCATTTATTGCCTACATGTAACGTGTTTTCCCCGATTCCCACTCTTTTTCTCCAGAGAAAATGTTGTGCCAAAAGTTTACAAAGGGTAAGTACATAAAATGATTTTGTGTTGAAGAATAGTGGCGATTTATCCTTATTCATATAAACAAGTGAATGATATTTGTCTTAGGGTTTCAACAAGATATGAACTGCAGGCAGAACTCAAGGAGCAAAACCAACAATTGTCAGCTGCCAAAGGGGAACTGGAGAAAAAACTTACGGAAACACAGGTATAGAAAGTTCACCAACTCTTTCGATTGGCATCATGCTTGGTGTGACTATAGTTTCACTGGTTTATGCCCATTTTTTTTGCTTTTAAAACACAGCAAAAAGTTTCTCATCTGGAGCAGCAGTGCAGTGACCTTGAAAAAGAGAATTCTGAGGTCCAGAAAAACCTCAAGGACTGTCAGATAATCCTAGTGGCTGCAAAAATAGACCCAAGTAAGTATGCTTCAAAGCACGCTGTTGTAATTATTATGTTTATAACATTATTGAAATTAAAATTAATTTGGATTGCTACTTAGTTTCAGGAGAACTAATTGGTGAAGCTGCACGCCAGAATGAAGAACAAAGAAAAGAAGTCATGGTACGCACATGTATTTACGGTTCCTTGCTCTACTTCATTTAATGTTCTGTAAAATTAATAATAATAGTATGAATACATGCAGAAGATTTCAAACCAAACCCAAATGATTATTACTACAACACTTGTATCCGATTGCAGGGTGTCTCCGCAGACCTGTTGAAAGAATTAAAGGTTTTTGGGAACATGGCAACTCAGCAGCATTCTCGTCTGCAGGTGATATTATTATTATTCGGTTGATAATTTTTATACTCGACCATAAATGGTTTCAAATATTTGCATGTTTTGACATCCATTCATTTTTCCATACACTTTTAGGGACTCCAGAAAACAATGAAAGACCTAACTGAAGCACGGGAACAAATGATGCAAGAGATACAGACCTTCGCTCGGGAGGCTGCTGACATGGAAAAAGCTCTGATGGAGGCAGAAGCTCTGTTATTGTAAATGTGTTGTGCCGCCTTGTCTAAATGTGCAAACGTGCCCGTTAATATGGAGTCTAATGTTCGTATTGTTCATGTATTTGTGTGAGTACATAATGGCATTTGATGTCATTGTTATTCAGTGTCAATAAATAAAGTTTCTCATGGTTCTCATTTTCTATTTCAAAACAATGCTTTTTTTTTAATCCATTCCCTCTCGCTCACTCAGGTCCTCATCCTCCCAGCAAGCTTTTGATTAATCCTTAGCTTTATATTTACCCCGAAAATTATTTCAAAGCATTACCGGGAAAATAACAAGGGCCGAAACAGTGTGGTAATATTGTACATTTGATTGTGATCTGTGGAGGGCAGTACTGCACTTTACTGAATGTGTTTTCCCGTAGTGTGTGAACGAAGAAGAGCATTGCGGAAGAAGCCAGCAGCAGTCACCCTTCAGATTTAGCAAGCATGAAATCGCGACATTGAACAGTGGTGGTCAAATGCTGCAAAAAAAAACAAACCCAAATTATTTTGGTGTTTTTATATGCTCAGCGAAGCCCGAAGCTACTAAAAGGCTGTTGAATACTCCTGTTTTTTTTTTCCTCCCTTCGATCGCGACTCGCAGCGCTCCACTCGGGTGTCATTAAATGTAAATATAAATAATCATGTTGTGATCGTTAACATACATGTTGAACATACTAAGTGTAGGAAGAAAAGCATATGTTGTTTGTCCCCAAAGAATTATTTGGGCTTTAAAAAGCGCCACAAATAAGTTGTTATTATTTGAGTCGTGTAATAAAAACAGTAACGTACGTAAATTTGAGAATCTTGGTAGAAGGCTTGTCCTTGTTTATTTAATTTTAATGGGGTGGTGCTCAAACGGCATGGTTCAATTAATTTTACGAAGTTAAGCGCGCTATTTCAGTGATGTTCTCTCGGCCTGTCTCAATTGGGAATAAAGTAAAGTACTGTATTGTTCATCTTTTGAGACTTTTTTTTTTATCATGCATGTGTGCTCTCTGTGTTCAGGTTATGGCTGCAGGCTGTGTGAGGCAAATGCTTTGTCATGGTGTCCAAATAATGTATGGGCGCAGTCCTGGCTCCTTTGCGCCTGCATTGAGGATTCTCATAAGTAACCAAAAGACCAGCGCCTTTACTTACCCTTGGAGATGGTCTCCCTTCTGCACAGAGGTGGATACCTTGAACCAGACTCCTGCAGTAAAGAAAAAGCGGGATCCTCGGGCTCGCACCACGATCACCAGCGTTGGCCGGAAAATCCCAGAGCGACAGATCCAAGTAATCAGCGAGACTGGAGACAACCTGGGTGTCCTGCACCGCGCAGATGCCCTCAGAATCATGGATGAGAGGGGCCTCAAACTGGTGCTGCTCAGTGAACGACAGGAGCCTCCAGTCTATCGTCTGATGAGTGGGAAACAAATTCATGAAGAACAGATGAAAATGTCGGAGAAACAGAAAACAAAAGCAGGTGTGTGGAGCCAGAATAAACTGACACTCGCCAATCTTTACAGTCGGTAAATATACTGTACTTGCGCACCGAGCCATAAAAAGATGCTAAGTTGCATCCCTAGGACATGTCACAAGCACACGAAATAGTTTAAAACACCTGTTTTTGCTGCTATCCTCTGTATAGTTCCCGTGCAGGTCAAAGAGCTTACGTTTTCATCCGGCATTGCTCCTCACGACCTGACCACCAAACTGAAGCAGGTGGAAAACTGGTTGGACAAGAAGCACCACGTTAGGATTACATTGCGCGCACCACGCAAAGAATCTGTCAACGACCTGGTGAGGAAGTCGCATGCCCAATTGACCACTGGTCCCAAATTGATCACATATTATGTTTTCATCTCCCACCTAACAAATCTTTTTTTTCACACAGGATCAAAATCTAGAGCAGATGGTGCAACAAATGGAGGTGATGGTGGGATTTGTCTCCAAGCCCAAGGTCACACGTGAGGGGCAAGCGGCCATGTGCGTACTTCGGCCACCTTCAGCTAAGGAACTGTCCAAAAGAGACAAAGATCGGACTTCGTTGTCACAGACTGCCAGCTCGCAGGCTGCCCAGGATCAAACATTACCTTCGGACCCACAAGACTCTTCAACAGTGTTAAACGAGAAATAAACTATATTTGGTCGTACAATCTGATATGCGGTAATATCTCAAGTCTTCACTTAACTGGCAGAAAAAAGATAATATTCATGTCACAAAAAAACGAGACGCTGTCACTTCAAGCAATAATAAACTTCAAGTGGAAGTGACCGTGGCGAATGACATTGTTTTGAGTGAACTCATCTCAGCACACGATGAGAAGATAACATCCACACCGCTATGTATCTTAACTTTATTCAAGAATTATATCGTTTTATGACAAAAATAAACATCTAATTTGGCTTACAGATACATTCACTTGTCACAAATTAGTTGCGTTTCACACTTAATCTGACACCTTTCTTGCACGTTCAGCATGAGACCCCTTCTTTGGGACATTCTCAAGAGTGGTGCTCTGCGCGTACTTTTTAACAGGTTGAAAACGGTACAAGTGGAAACCTAAGACGTCCAACTAATCTTGAGCTCTTCCTCACACTTGAAAATATAAACCTGACTAAACTGTAAAAATACAACTTCAACGCAGGATTAACTAACATGCAGGAACAACATTTGTCAATAAGCCTCGAGAACTTGGTAGGATGAGAAGGGTTTGACAAAGTGATAGTCCAGGTTGCCGCAGTGAGGGCACTGCTGCACGTTGCTGTATTCAGAGAAATACTGCATGCCCACACGAACATCCACCACCGGCTTCCCGCAGTGTTTACAGTTGAGACGAGCCTGGTGGCACACAGAGGGACACACATAAGTCATATCATGCTTAAAAACAAACAAACACACACACAATATACACCCAAAAAATGCTAATAGATCGCAACTATCATTTTATGATACTCAATTGTGATTTATGATATTTATCCCACCGGTTCTGAGAAAAAAAACGTGCCCTGTGGATTAAATTTGTAATACATTTTACAAGTGTCACCAAAATACTCCTTACTTAGCTTACTTTAATGCAAGGTTCGAATATATTTATGTCTTCCGCTAATTGTCTACCGAGCCTCTGTTTCCAGAAAAAAAAAAAGACCACAACCAGCAATGAGATCGCTGCAATCATAGCATGCATATACCGCACTGCATCCGTAGTCTACCTGACAACAAGGTGAAGCAGCCAGGATGTCGTAAGTGTACATGGTGCCCAACTGGTGCCAGCTCCCATCCCAGCGAGACTTGCATTTGATACATACGATCTTGTGGACACCTTCTAGACAATCCACACATATGGCATAGAGGTGCATTAACCTGCCTGTTAGAGATGAAGAAAGAGCATTAGTTGCCAAATAAAGGCGTCATGAAGGGAAAAAAAAAAAAAGACCGGCTCCCGAAGACACACATGTTTGTCAATGTCCAGATGAAATAAAATCATCCTCAAAGGTAGAAAGAATTTTTACCTTGCAGGTGGCAAGGAACGTCGTACTCGATTTCGTCGTGGCGTGACGGGCTGAGGAACATGGTGCCGTCCACCAGCGGGAACCGTTCAAACACCGGCAACGCTCGGTGACAGAGCGCGCAGTTGACCACGTTCCTCTGGCATGCACTGAGTGTGGAAAGGATGAACCTATAAAAGACGGGGAGTCCATTTCACAAGAGGTTCGACACTTGGATGAGATTTCCTTTTTGCGGTCACTCGAAACCGGCTGAGTTGTCGTTGAAAGAATGACAACTTCCTGTTTGCCGGTGGCGCCGCTCGCTTCTTCGCGCCGTGATTTGCCTCGGCTGAATGATACGGCATAGCTGATTGGGGCATTTTCTGGTCACGTTTTTTTTTTTGGCTACTCATCCCCTAAGAAAATATTCATTGTAGAATAAACTGGTTCTTAATAAATAAATACAATAAAAAGTCGAGTCACTTTGGCATTTATTATTGTCGTTGAAACTGTCGGTACGACCTGACAGTAGTACACTCCTGACTGGGGTGGAGATCTTGCAGTTGCTTATAAACATAGTTTGCGCGCGATGTTCTTCGCCATGTGGACTGCACGCCTCAGCTCTGCTGAATTTGAAGGAGACGGACGCCTAATTTCTACTTGCGCTCGTCTACGAAAATGCCAAAAGAAAGAAAACTCCAGCCGGGCGCACCGTTAGGCTGCACTTTACGCTACATTTGCACTGGGCACGGAAATACATCCCTCCGCGTTCAAGAATCTTCCTACCTGCGCAGTTCTTCTCCCTGGCCGGCCTGGGCGTCGTCCTCCATTCGAACATGGTAGGTGTTGAATTTATGGCGAGGAATGCTAGAGAGAAGCTCGGAGAAATCCAACCTCCTCAGGAACTGCACGGGCTGAGGAAGGGTGCCGTCGCCTAAGCCGCCCGAGGCGTGTCGGTGATGAAGTGGGAGCGTGAAGGCCATCGGCAAGGGTAGAACGGCTGCCGGGTCGAGGTGAGCGATGCAACCGGAGGCTCGGCTGAGGGCTCCCCCGACCAAAAGATGCTTCCGCTGCGCGTCCACCATGTGCACTGCGGATTTGAGGAATTCTCCTAATTGACGGGAACCCCGAAAACCTGGACCAACTCCGCCAGGTCCGTGGACAGAAGTTGGCGAAAAGGAGATACCAGTCGGAGGTGACTGTCCCGGGGAGTCACATGGAGACTTCAAAGGAGAGACTGCTCCTGCTGCTCCTGCTCCTCTCTCGACGGAGTTCTGGCGGTCCACTGACTGTCTTGGCGGCAGCTCCTGACTCGACGCTCTGTGCACTGTTTTACCGACGCCTCCCGCTGGCTTGCTTTTCTTGGGGTCCTCAAATACGCTGTCCCCGGACCCGGACGCCCCTCCACAGGACCCCGGCCTTCCAGTGCTCTTCTCAGACGCTTTCTTCTTTCGCTCGTCCTGCATGCGCTTCACTTGATACCAGTCCGTGTCTTTTTTCAGATGACCTTGGCCGCAGCGGCACGAGCAGAACCTAAAAGCGAGGTCGTATCCTTTCTTGGTCCACATGTTCTGGCGACACTGCTTCTCATTCCACGAGCGCGCGCGGCCGATGCAGTTGAACTGGACCAGAATGGAGCTCTCCCACTCGTAGAAACACTGCAGGTGCATCCAGTTTCCGTAGGAGCAGAGCTCGTTGTTGCACTGGATCCTCTGGTAGTCATCCTTCTCCAGGTCAATGGGCCGGCCCAAGCTGCAGCCCAGAGGGGTTGCGCACTGGGCCTCTGAAAGATGAAAGACAGAACGATATCAAATGGATTTCATACGTACAGTGAAATGTATTCTCTGCGTAATTGTGCCCAAATTGACATTGTTCACAGAGCGGCTTCTTACCATCGGATTATTAGAAGTGCTCCAAACTACCCAATTATACATCAAGCGCTTGTCCTAAACGTTATTACCAAGCCTAACATGCACATCTTGCCCCTTCAATCCCTAAAGAGCATCACTTTCAAGGCAACTCTAATTCACGGAATCCACCCTCATCAACCTGGCACATCAACTTACAAACACGGCTCGCACTTGCAAGGGATACTTAAAAATAGACGACCATTGACAGTCATTATAACAGCATCCATCCATCCATTAACCGAGCCGCTTATCCTCACAACAGTCGCGAGCGTGCTGGAGCCTATCCCAGTTGTCTTCGGGCAGTAGGTGTTGTACATTCTGAACTGGTTGTCAGCCAATCGCAGGGCACACCTCGTCATCCACCTATAGACGATTTGGTCTTCAATAAACCATGATGCATGTTTTTGTAATGTGGGGGGAGGATGTCGAGAATGCAAACTCCTGAAAGAACATTCATACCCACGACTGTGAGGCAGACAGTCCCCCGTGTAGCATATCAATATAATGCAGTATTGACATTTCATTTTGTTGTTTTCAAGGACATCTCTAGATTCATGAAACATAATGGGTGTGGAGGTCAATGACTTTCCTGCTACAGTGCGTGGGCAGTTTTGACACATGCAGTCTACACGTCACATTATATCTAAATGTACATGCAACAAAATGCATGGAAACCTTCAATCGACCACTGAACACATTTGGGGGGGGGGGAGTGTATATGTTTTGTTGTTGTTGTTGTGTGTTTCCCCTGCTAAATTGGACCATTTTGTATACTGTATTATTCGTTCCAAGGCGAATCACTTACTTCACGACCAACGTATTTAAAGAGACAACAGCAGATCTTGTTTTCGGCCAACATCAAGCAATAACTGCTTGAAGAAATGCTCCTTCTCTGCCACAATATTTGGAATGGAAAAAAAAAAGATTCAAAACGTAAGTAAATCGCTGGCAAATGATTAGACTTTCTGGGTCAGCTAAAGACGCACGATATACAAATCAACCCGTTTCACACGAGGCCCCCCATTTGTCATCGAGCGTACGTTTGCAGATCTGCGTGCAAAACCCTCGACATGCCATAATTGAGCACGGGAGTTTTGTACGACTGGGTTTCTTTACAACGAACCTAGCCATTGTGCAGGCATGTCACACGAGCCCACGTACGTCACAGCAGCCGCACAGGTAGCGCAGTAAGGTAGCATCCCCAAACTTGTTCACGTACGTCTGTGTCCCGTTCCCTCTCTTACCACCCGAATGCTCGCTCCCGGGTGCAGCAGCAGCAGCAACCGCGGCCGCGCCTCCTGTTGCGGCCGCGCAGGCTCCATTTTCCTGTTCATCTCCGCTACTGTTAGTGCGTTTGCTCTTCTTCCCCTTGTTGTTCTTCTGGTTGGGCATTTTTTTACACCACGCGATTCCTGAGTCAAGTGTTCTGTTCGATCGCTTTCATCAACGGCTCGTGTTAACGAAGTCTGTCATTTCTGTGGGCTCCATTTCTGCAGGGATACGCTCGATGTTTATTGAGTCATAGACGTGCTTTTGTCGGAGTAGTTGTAGTTGTTGGTATTGTTATTTAGCCTCTTCGTGCAGTTCCGACAGCAGCACTTAATAAGCTGCTATAACCTTTCAGAAAGAAGGCGTGCCTCTCGATTTCATTCCTGCTCTGTTGTCGTCTTCCACCCCGTGACGTCACTGGACCCCTGGCATTGGCCAACGGCAACATTTGCCGTGTTCATGTAACCTGGGAATCCCGACGACTTCTTGCTATTTCGATTCTTCGCCTCATTCATTCGTTCTCCGAACCGCTTCTAATATCCGCCCTGAACACCATTATTTTGCACATATTTTTACCAGAATACAAGCACATGCTCTTGCATGTAACATCTTAGCTGCCGTGAAACAAAACGTGATTAAGCAGAATGACGTGAAAAGGTTTTATTTACTGGAATGTAGACATAGGTTATTGCCAATACAAAAGACAATAAGACCAACACACTATACAGGAGTTATATATTAACTCACAGGCATGGATCACCATAGTATAAACAGCTTGAGGTATTGATGCTGTTCTGCAAGTACTCTCTCCTTTTCTTGCTACTATGTATGTTCACGTCATTGACGTTTTAATTGACCAGTGTGTCCAGACCTAACTCGAAAGACCTTTTTTCTCTTTACGCAGTGCTATTATCAAGGTTCTACAGTACAGTCCATTTTCACTGAAGTTCTAATTCATTTCACATAACATCTGATCTGAGGCTGATGCTGTTTGAATACCAATCAAAAGGCATGTTGTTTGAAAAAAATAACAATACAAATGAGCACCTGAAACAATAGATCCACCTGGTTGACGTGACAGCAGTAAGTTGTGAATGGAACACATTGAACTTGCAGCCCAGGCATCTGACTGTTTGCATCTCCCATAATTTTTTATTTTTTATTTTATTTAAATGCACACAGGCGCGCTTGTGCTTTAGCACAGCCGGCATGGTCAAAAACAAGCAGTTGATCGTTTACTTTTACACTAATAGTCATTCCTGTTTACATCAGGCTCATTTGGAAATAGTTCAAAAATGGGGGCTGTGCTTTTGTTTTGTTCTATTCTAAATGATCTAAAACTAAATCCTGATGTGATCAGCCCTGCGAGTGGCTGGCAACCGGTTCAGGGTTTCCCCCGCCTACTGCCCGAATATCAGCCCGAAGACAGCTGGGATAGGCTCCAGCATCCCCCGCGACCCTTGTGCGGATAAAAGCGTTTCAGAAAATGAATGGATGGATGGATATGATCGTGCCTGATCTGCAAGTGTCATTGGCCCCACAGTACAAAACAAATAGTGGTAAATTGGCAAAAACTATGACTTGTTCATTCGTTCTTTTATCAAGCACATTTGGTTGTTGATTTGGTCCTGAGGAAAAAGTACAAACTGATATTTTTGGTTGGCACCCTGTAGTAAGTATATGCTTACAAAATTGCACTACAGACACATGTCCAATGTAAACACTTTGTCCATTATATGGACAGATATTTGGGGGGAGTTTGCTTGGCAAGGAAAACAAAGACTCTGTACAAAAAAAAGTACAAATGTCTTACAGAAATACACTTGTCTTCAGAACTTTCTGGTCTTGAATTTATCATCTGTCCATGCAAAAGTTGAGAGGTAGCATAATGGACTCGTGGAATGCATGAAACCATCACTAGCCAACATATAAGTATGTTTTGTGTGAATAATCCAGATATTCAATTGTTGATATGCACACGGAGTGCTGAATCTAACCTTCTGCACCTGTAAAACGTGCTCACTAGGATCAATTTGTCAAGTACAGTGTGCTCTAATTACTAAAGTTAGCATGACATGCAATAAAGGTTGCTGAAAGACTTGATAATCGAAATGCATGTGAAGTGATACTATTTAGGGTTAGCCTGCAACTTTACAGAAAATGTCATAGCAGAGGCTTGGTAACCTGTAATCAAAAAGTCAGCGTAGCGCTTTAAATTTCTTTTTCCCAATACTGTATATTGCTGGAATTCACCCTGAGCATTTTGTTTAAAAAAAAATATGCACAAGCTTCAGCGGGAAAAGAGTTAGCAGTCTTGACAGCAGTTAAGCAAAAAGCCTTTCTTACAATCAAATCTGTGAGCAAACATAATCCTCGGCCCAATTACGTCAATACTGTTGTATTCCATCTTTTTAAATCTTCCACTTATGCTTCCTGATTTCTTACATTTTGTTGTAGAATATATCACCCGGGTAGAAAGATGGGTCCTTTGTGAATCTGTGTTACTTTTGTCATTACAATTCAGCTAAAATTTTCAAAGAGCCACATACAACTAATTACTCGCTAGACTGTAATGTAAAACTGTGCTTTGTTTGAGGAACCGCAGGTCATGAAAAATATCTTTGCTATTTGCGGCTGTTAATTAGCCCTTGAAACAAAACTGTTGTCAAACACGGGTTTTGGTTTTGTTTGGCACACTGAAATGAAACTAACTTAAAGTGAATAAAAATGATGCCATCGCAGTTTGCTGTTGTTTCCAATTTGTGTGGTCTCGGAATGGGAATTCAAACAGTGAGCTTTGTGCATGCTAGAAGAGAACCAAAAACAAAATAAACAATGCTCATTCATACAGCAGCTCAATGCTTGGAAAAGACACCAAAACACTTTCACCTGCAGTTACTGTGGGCAAGAGTGACCTCATTTTTGGAGAAGGATGATGTCAACATTATCGTGAACGCCCTGCAGAAGCAACTCGCCGTCGAAGGCGACAATTTTCTTCCTCTTGGCGGCCCTCAGGGTGCCCACCAAAGCCTCAAAGATGTTGGCACAGCGGTCGTCGTTGAACAGCACTCCAAATTTTACGCTTGTTTGACCCTCAGCATCTGTGATAAATTCAGAGAACTTATTTTTTTTCGGGCTTCTACGGAGCAGTACGAGGAAATTGTGTCCATAATCCAGTATTTCATCAGACAATATATTAGCTCCTGCCGAAACAATTAATAGTCCCGTTGAATAAATTAAAAAATGGACTGCTTTGACAAAAGAAAACGAATCCCATCATGCTACAATGCATAATAAGAGCCTGTACTCACTTTTGCTGCCAAGTCGTTGAATCTCCTCCACCAGTAAGTTTACTTCATGAGTGACATTCATTGTTGCTCTGGAAAGGGAACTGAATTAACAAGAGACATAAACATGTTAATGGAATTCTTAATTTCTTAGTAGGGGGATACTGGTTTTTAGTGTCAACCCAAGACAGATTTATTTCTATGTAGTGGTGCCTCTTGGTAAGTAGCAAATCTCAACCAGTACTTACAACCTACAGGACTAACAATGCGGTGATTGGGTGGGGGGCGGGGGGGTGTCTCATCAAGGGGGCAAGTAAAAGCAAGATGGGTTTAAAACCTACAGGACTAACAATGCGGTGATTGGGGTGGGGGGCTCATCAAGGGGGCAAGTAAAAGCAAGATGGGTTTAGACTTCCTCACATTCTAACTCAAGCGAAATGGGAGTCTGCACACACTTTGAAGATGTGTTTGGGAGATTTACTTTTTGTTGAATTCGATTAAATTCAATACAAATGCTTCATTGGGTAAATCATTCTGTATCATGACAATGCTCGTGTAATTTGCACAAGATGCATCCAAATACAATCATGAAAGAAGAAGCAGTGCAATGACCACATGCCAACAAGCTCCAACACGAACAGGGCGGATTGAATTCAATGCGGAAGTGGGTGATCGGCGTTGCCGGCAAGCCATCGCCAAACAAAGATTCCTGATTCTATTAATCTATTTCCACGAACGCGTTCTCGTTACATTGTAAACGTTAGAGAGCCAAAGCTCGACAACCTTTTGATGAGAAGACGGAAGGCTTGGCAGTAGTACTATCTATCTACTGTTACCGGTGATCTGCTTACATTCGGAGGGTGGAGTCCTGACTGTTAAAACGGATGTGAAGTGCGCTGCCTAAAATATTTTAAACATGTCAACTCATATATACGACAGGGCATGTGATGTTTTAAGAACAACTTTTAATTTTCTTACCGGTAATTACGTCAATCACTTCTCCACGATGCGATAACGGCTGCCCAGTATTAATACTACGCTACGTTGCGTTTAAGGTCATCGTATATTCTTTCAACCTTGAACAGCACAAGGGACATGGGCTGACTTGAAATTTGCACTGAAAGAGAAGCGAATACAAATTTAATATATGAAAAAATTAAAAAGTTTCCTAATTTTTTCAATGGCATTTCTTATTGTTTGTTTTCCCCATTAAACAGGCACGAATCTGCCATGTGTTGCCAAATTTCGCAAAGTCTCCAAACTCATCTGACGAACGCGTCACAGCTCGTGATGCATTCAATACACCGCTTACGTGTGGGACAGAAAAAGTCAATCTTCAAGAAGGGCAACGTGAGACGGGGAGGTGCAACAGACTTTGAAACCAATAAATTGGAATAGTGTGATATAATGCAGTGTAACAACCCTTGATATTAAAAATAATACACATTGATCTTCAGATATCTTGGATACAACAATCATATTCAAAAAGACCATTTTAAAGATGAAAAGTCCTGCAGTATTTGTTGCATTACTTTACCATTTTCCATATGTTTTAGATTCCTGTATCTCATTAAATGTGTCAATGCGTTGAATCTTCTTCCCTCACTCCAGAAGACCCCAAAATACAGTCCATCACCTCCTCCATCTAGGACCACGACCCCCAAAGGGCACCCCACACTTTTCCAGTTGAGGACTAGCGTCTCAGATTTGGAAATGCTGGATCTGATGCTAATGTAAACTAAAATAGATCTAAAATATAAGTAAACAAAGGAGGTCCATAATTTTAAAAATGGCATTTCCAGACTTGGTTTTATAGCTTTGCGCTGAGCTGCTCGTGATGAAAGCTCATGCATTAAAAAAAAAAACGCAGTCAACGTCGCTACGCGTTTTCTTTTGATGGATTCTCCCGGAAATCCGGATTGAACGGAGGAAATTGACAGCGTTAGTAGGAATGGCCGCTATGGTCACTAGAGGAAGGAACCCGAAGAGCCCGAAACTTTACTTCCAACGGGCCCGCTGAGGATTTGAACTCTGACGAAACGCACGAACCCCTTTCTTGCAGTGGACGAAAGACGGCGTCTTTTGACGTGATATACTTAGGATCGGCTCGCATGCTTGGCTCGCCGTTACAAGTGTCGCCGAGTTAGATTGAATGTAGCCGCTAGCCAGCTGTTGGCTCCCTTGCTTGGCTGGCCCAACAAGTTAACTAAGTGAATAACTGCATTAAAGCATTCGCCGATCACCGTTAAATGGTGATCGCCGATCGTAGCAACAACTAGTATTTGGCGACAGTAGAGAGAGAAGCGTCGCGGGGTACCAGATTGTCATTGCGATTTGAGAATATAATTAGTGCTAATCTTAACGCTAGCTCCAAAGCTAGCTAAGTTGTGATCCTGAAGTATCGCCCATTTTCGGATCCTGCCCCAGCTACTGGCTTGGGGTCTAATCGACAGCTCGTCAGTCTGCTTTTAAGGTGGCATCTGTAGTACGATGGAAAGTCTAACGTTGAGTGATGTCGAGCAGAAATATTACTCCGATTTGTTCGTTTACTGCGACACGGACAACACTAAAAAAGTGGCTTCTTACGGGAGAGTTCTTGACCTTTTCAGGGCGGCCCAGCTTCCCAGCGAAGTTGTCATACAGGTAAGCTAGCGGGTGTTAAAGTCCTCACTTTTTGATGCTTTTATTGTCCACCAGTAAATCGAGACGCAAAGCGATGATTTGGATGTTGATTAAATTTGAGCAGCTGTCAAGAGCTGAGCTGTCAGTAAAAGCTAAGGTTAGCCTTCATATGTAGCAGCGCTGCGCAGTGCGAGACACACCTTCTTCTGGCTAACGTTAGCTTCTCTGCTCAGCAGAGCTCCAAACATGTGTGGTGCACACTTGAAACGTTTCGGATTGTGATGGAGTGGCGCAAATGCGCATAATGCATCAAACTGACTCTTAACTAGTTCTCACTTTTTCTTCTCTAATTTTATCAACATTGATTTTCCCCTCGCCTCCTTCCTGTACCCATTCTTCCTCGTCCACAAACATAATCCAAAACCGTGTGAAAGAAAACCCACCTGCAATAAGTGAAAAATCCTCGAGTGAGATTGGTCATTAATATCTGACATCACAGTAGTCATGCTCGGCGCTGTTCTCTTGTGTGGTTGTGTGTTCAGATCACAGAGTTGTGTGGAGCCACTCGGCTGGGTCACTTTGGACGAAGCCAGTTCTACATCGCCCTAAAGCTGATTGCCATCGCCCAGTCAGGCCTGCCGCTCAGGGTAGAAAGCCTCAACTCAGGTGAGTCTTTCTTTTATGTTTGTACATCAACCGGAAATGGCAGTAAACAGCTTGAGGGAGGCATCTGGCCTCATTTTTATTTCATTTCAAAAAATGTAAGCAAGCAGTTGACTGGAAACGTTTCAACATGAACATCCTGGAATGATTTCATAATCTCCCGGTAATAAGGAAGCATCAACACTACTTCCCCACGTCAAAGCAATCGTAACGCTCCGCTGCGATGGATGTTGGAGGTTATTCAGAATGAATTACTGTGCTTGCAGTAAAGGACCTGCCACTGCCCAGGTTTGTGGTGGGGAAGAATGAGGCGGAGGCGAGACACGTGGCGCTTTACCAGGACCCGGACAGTCAGGGGTTGTACCCCGCCTCCGCAGCTGCGTTAATACCAAGACCTCCAGGCAGGGGTCACCCAAACAAGAAGGTCCCCCCCTCAGCTAGCGCCCATCCTCTCCACGAGGCAGTTCAGCCCACAGCACCGAGCGTAGAAACACAGGTGTGTACGTGGGGCGGCCATGCGTGCCTTCAATGAACAATAAAACACTTCGTCAAATTTGAGCAAGTTAGCAATTTTGGGATGTCCATTGAAAGGTCTGTTTTCAAATGGGTTTTATCTTTTAGCAGGCAGAACCGACATCCCCCGTGGTCTCCCCTCATCAGTCCCCACCCTCCTCCCCGCCTTCCTGGAGGAAACACAAACGGCAGCACAGTGGCGGAAACGCAGACAGACAACCGGTGGCGGCACCGACTGGAGTCGTGTGGACGCAATTCCGGGAGCAACAAACTGGTAATTCACCCATAAGAACATTGTGAGAAATATACGTCACCACCCAGGGAACATACCCCATGACTTGGAAACAATTGCATGGAACGATTTTGACAATTCCTTTGTGTCTGCATTAGCTCCTGTGTCAGGTGACGGATTGTGGTCATCGCACTCACCCCCTCTTCCGGGTCAAGAAAGTTGGGTCAGTTTCACAGCTGATACGCCGCCATCAAGCACAGTCCCCGGAGCGCACCCCTCGTCCGTACAGGTTGGAAAACTTTATGTTGGAAGAAAGCAAATTTAGTGTTGTTGCAAGCCACGTTTTCCCTGAAAAATCAACTCAGGCTTGGCATAAGTAGACATTTCCCGTCTTCCAAATTTAGTGTTCAGAATGAAATCTTTATTCCAGTGATCTTCACCTTCTCAGTCACAAATAGAAGCAGCTTTTTTTTCTTTTGTGATGTCACTCCCAAGACTTAAAGAGAGAAAAACAAAGAGGCCAGTCTGAGTAAAAACTGTCAGTCACATGATGCCTTCCCTAGGAAAGCACAACGATACGAACAACGATGGCCCCGGCAGCAGCAGCAGCAACTACTACTGAGGTCCAGCGACAGTCCAGTGGCTATGATGATCCCTGGAAGATCACTGACGAACAGAGACAGTATTATATAAACCAGTTCAAAACCATTCAGCCCGACCTGACTGGTTTCATACCAGGTAGCAAAACAGTAAACACAAAAAAAACAAACCCAACTTTACGGAAGAATCTGCTGACTGAGTGATTTCTTGTCTCTCTGTTTGTCCCAGGTTCAGCAGCAAAAGAGTTCTTCACCAAGTCCAAATTGCCCATTTTAGAGCTGTCGCATATTTGGTGAGTCGGCGCTTTTACCACAGCAAGTAGCCTAATTGGTGAGTGCTGAATGAACCAGGGGTATTTGTGTGTCTGCAGGGAGCTCTCCGACTTCGACAAAGACGGCGCGCTAACCCTGGATGAATTCTGTGCCGCATTTCACTTGGTAGTAGCCCGGAAGAATGGCTACGACCTCCCCGAGAAGCTGCCCGAGAGCTTAATGCCAAAGCTGATTGACCTCGATGACTCAGCAGGTTGGCGGCCTCACACCGTTTCGTTTGCTCCCCCGTTTTCGTCCCATTGACCTTGGACCGCACTCAACGTCAAAAGTTTACTTTGTGCTCTCCTTCACTGGTACACTTTTAACAGTACACGTTTTTATCACACGCAGAAGTGCCGGAGCCAACCGCTGACGTCGGGTTCTCGGCCTCCCCCGCGGAGGTGACGCCCAACAAGTCCCCCTCCATGCCCTCGCTCAACCAGGCTTGGCCGGAGATGAACCAGAGCAATGAGGTTCCAGCACACTCGCACAACGATTACGCTCACGCGTGCATTCTATACATTATATTTTCTAATTTGCCCGCATTGATGAGGTTCGTATTAACCACTTTGGCACGGAGTGTCAGTCGTCAGCAAATATGATCCGTGATGATTAAGCACGTGCCTGTTTAGTTTTCGGCGAGGCCCGTTTATTTTGCCACCGCATTCAGTTGGAGCTGACGATCTCCCTTCATCTTGGGATGACTGCCGACGGCACGCCATTGCCTCAGACCGATGATATGAATGTGTGATGTCACTGCACTGGCTGTCTTGCTGACTATTTTTTTTTCTCGTCTTCTCACTGTCCGTCTGTCTCCTTGCAGCAATGGGAGACGTTTAGCGAGCGCTCCTCCAGCTCACAAACTCTGACCCAATTTGACTCTAACATTGCACCAGCTGACCCTGTAAGTCGATCACTTAGCATGCATGGTTTCACCATTAATGGACAGACATTAACCCATCCTGAAATGAGCTGAATTGTCTCTCGGTCTCTCTCCCCCCCTCCCTCTGGCTGTGTCACTGTGTTTGGGCATGAGGTTCTTTCAAATGTGTCTGTGTTTTGATCGTAGCATGCATTTGGGTCTCCTCTTTTGCTCCTGTGACGAGTTTGATCTTTGCATATTTCGGGAGTGAAAGGAGTGCTTTTGTATAAGGCAAGAAATAGCAAAGGCCGGTTAATCTGGTGAACAATGCACTATTCTACGTACAGTGTACGGTTTTGACGGAAAAAAAGTGGGGAGTAAAAAAAAAAAAAATTGGGATTTGACAATAAATGTGTCTCTCTGTCTCCTCTCCTTCATAGGACACAGCCATCGTCCACCCTGTTCCCATCCGGATGACCCCCAGTAAGATCCACATGCAGGAGATGGAGCTCAAGAGGACTAGCAGCGGTGAGAGCCTCGTGGCCGAATGGCCTCCTCATAATACATCTAAAATAATGTCTTTAGAGTGCCTGTTACTTTTCATTTTTACAAGATTTGCCTTCGCGAGCGGTCTCCATTTAACTACTTGTGCATTTAAATGAGTTTGTAATGCAAAAGGGTGTCGCTAATGAATTCAGAAGATATACATTTGACTGAAGATCGTGTCTCTTGTACAATGATGTGTTTGCCTCCACATCTTCAGATCACAATCATCCGACCAGTCCAATACTGGCCAAACCACCAGAAGTGTCTGAAGAAGTCAAACTACCGGTACCTGCCACCATGAAGTTTGTACCAGCAAATGCCGTAGGTCAGTCATACAGCTGGCGGGTTAGTTTGACACTGTGCGACAGAATTCAAGTCATTCCCCATGTTAGAAATAATATATAATTAGAAGTGGGTTTTTTTTAGGGTTGGGGGGGTTGAGATTCTATTCCAATTTAAAAAAAACAAAAAAACTTTTTTTTTTGTCTCCATCCAGGTGATGGTTACAGCAGTTCTGATTCGTTCACCTCTGACCAGGAGCCAGTGGCAAGACAAAGGTGACTTATTACCCTCCAACAAGGCCTCGGTTTATCGACAGACACATCATGACGTATTGAATTCATCAAAATGTAAAATTTTGAAACGAGCAAAGATCAACAGTCAGTGGAACTTCACCACACACTTCACAAACGGAGGACCCCATGGATATGTTCATTGATTGATTTGGGAGTTGATGTTTTTGTTTCCTACGTGTTGTTGTTTCTGTGTCCAGGTCTCAGTCGGGCGCATCTCCAGAAGCTCTGAAAGTGGTGGCGCCGCCTCCACCTCCCCCCCGGCCTCACCCGTCCCACTCCCGCTCCTCGTCGTTGGACATGAACCGCAACTTCGCCGCAGCGTCAGCCGCCGGACAGCCGCAGCCCGCCGCCATCGCTTTCCCGCCCGCAGTGCCTCCTCGACCGCTTCCTACACAGGTGAGACGGAAAGCAACGTCTTGGCTTCACCGATTCGCCCAGAACTACAAACCCACGCTTGGCTTCTCTGCTCGCCAAAGTCATCGGTACCGCACGCGGGACAACGCGCCGAGGCTGAGGGTGCGACGGGAGCGGGGGCCCCGCTCACCACCACGTCCCCCCAGCAGATCCCGCAGCAACCCAATTTCGCAGACTTCAGTCATTTTCAGGCCTTTGCTGCATCTGAGCAACCTTCGAGCTTGCCGGAGGTCGACAAGCACAGCGATCCTGGACAGGTGTGTGTGTGTGGGTAGGCACTCCAGGGACTGTTTGTATGCAACCAATTGAAAAAGTCACCTTGTCCATAACATGTCTACTTTGAGTGACTAAGACACGCAGTACCTATTTATTTGCGGGTTATTGCAGGGGGACAAGTCATCAGACGGAGCCGGGCCCCTGAGAACAGTCAAGAGTGACGGCCAGGCCGATGAAAGAACGACCACCGCTGGTCACTCTGTAATGCCCCACCCACCATCTTTTGTCTCTTTTGATAGTCTACAATTACGTGAAACTAAACAAAACTTACCCTCATTGTTTGTAGCTCCAGACAAAGCCTCATGTTTTCCTTTTTTTTTGTTGTTGTTGTCCGTCCAGACCAAGGGTTCATCTGGCCCTTTAGCTCCTCCTCCCAAGCCTATTCGTCGCAGGTTGAAGTCTGAGGATGAGTTGCGGCCCGAGGACGAGCAGCACGGCCCACAGAAGTCCAACATCATAGCCGCCGCCATGGCTACTCAGCCCTCAATCCCCAGGTTGGCAAAGTTCCCCTCGGGTGTGTTAGTGGTGAGGCGCATCTCTGTCACCGGTCCTAACAAGAAGGTGTATTTGGGCGTGTTACGCTAACAGGTCAGTAGGTAAGGACAAAAAGGCAATACAAGCGTCGATCAGAAGAAACAAGGAAACAAACACGGTGTTGGCAAGACTAAATAGTGAACTGCAACAACAGTTGAAGGTACATCTCACACACACACCCACACGAGCCCACTTGCATTTTAAAAAAACTGCGACTCAGGCACAGTTTGAAACTTCCCATTGAGACGGACGTTTTTCCTGCATCCCCCCCCTTTTTAAAGTCAAATCCACGTTTCGTTTTTTTTCCCAGGACCTGCTTGAAGAGAGGATCTCTTTGGAAGTGCAGCTGGAGCAGCTCAGACCTTTTTCCCACCTTTAACCATCACCGATGAGGTGGTTGTAGTTTCTCCAAAGCAAGGCTGCACCCTTGGTGGGATGCCCCCCCCCCCCCCCCCCCCCCCCCCCACTCCTCCCCACCCACCAAACCATCCTTCCTTTCCCCTCCTTCTCATCCGCAGCGCGCACCTCCTTTAAGGCCACACTTGCTTATCAGGTGTACAGCGGAGCCAGCCGGGAGCGCCGCGTGGGCGTGAGAGCGCGAGAAGACGACGACAATGTGGCACTTTTTCAATTTGCTCCGAAGAGAGATGAATCCGTGGCCGACAGCTGAGTTGGGGGAGCGGTGTTGGACATTTGGCTGCAGCTACGAGTTCTGTCTGAAGAGATAACTGCTGGCGAATGAATGCGCGTGTGAATGGGGACATCTGTTTTTGTTCGGTGTCTGTCAACACACCGGTCGACAGTTGAAAGAGTTCTTGAGCCAAATCTCGGAAGGGAGTTCCGCATTCAACTCCTGTAAATAACCGTAACATCGGAAACTGGTATTCAATATTTTCAAACCGTCTATGATCGCAGTCTGTTAAAAATCACCGCCATTGAAAATGGAACATTTTCGGACTTGTCATGGCCTCTGGGAAACTCGTGTTGGTGCGCGCTTGTTGGAATGGATTCCAATTTATGCCAAATGACTGAATTACCACTGCTGTCTCCCTTTTATTTGGTCTTATTTTCATCCTTTTCCCTCCCCGTCATCTCTTTTTTTTAAATTTTTTTTTTTTAAGCCCCCCTTTGATTGCAGCTTTCTGTTCCAGTCTCCTTTAACGCAAAAGGAGCGTTGAAGTGAATTCCAGCTACATGAGAGGTGGCATTTATGAAGGACTCGCGATGAGAAGTTTTCCTGTCATTTCCCTTTCGGCACTGGTCCAAGAGTTGATATTTCCAGTCATCTTGCCCGATGACGTCAGCACTATGCAAGTTCAGGGGCGATACGCGGCCACAGCTGTTTGAGCGCAGAAATAGTAGCGACTGTGTCTTTGTATCTCGGATCTTCCAGAACACAATCTACTGTAAATGCTACAAGAGGGAAGCGAATCCACATCAGTGTTTCTGCACTTTCAGACTAAATCTGTATTAGGAAAAAAAAAATATATATATATATCTTAACAAGACTAGAGACCAGTTACCACAACGTGAATGATCCCACTGCACTTTCAAAACCTCCGTCTGGCTTTTACGAGTTACTTCTTTTTCATCTTTCTTTTAAACTGTCAGAAGTATTAAAAGGAGAAAAACAAAAGTCATCAATCTACTCTAAATTGTCACTGAGAAAAAGTACGGTTTGTGCCATCCCAAAATAGCCTCTTGTTTAGCTGATTGTTAATTTTTATGATCACTGTGTCTATGGCCTTAAGTCCCCCTGCCTGAAGTTCAGGTTTCCATGGTGACTGACTGACCACCTTGTTGCAACAAGGCTCGCCTTCTTTTTTTTTCTTTCTTTGGTTTGTATGAATGTGCGTGTGTGTGTTTGTGTGTGTGTTAGCGTGGCCACACCTGGAGCTGATAGCATTGAACCCCTTCTTTTAAAAAAACCCATCATGGGATGGATTAGCGCTTGTCAGATGAAAAGCACTCGTCGTCCCGAATGGCAATCCAGGCAGAAGCAATCTGTCGGAAACAAAAAACAAAATCTCCGGTGGGATTTTGAATGCTATTTGCTTCCAGATCTGTGTTGTACATTGTATCTGACACACACACCCCTTTTTTGGAACTTGTGTACATTTGCATTCATTGCTGACTAACAGCGAAATAATATTCTATTTAATTCCTTCTCTCTTTGGCTGTGGGATCCTAGATGTTCAAACTGCATGGATGTACTGTATCTCTGCAGAGTCGACTAGCAGCTGTGTGGTTTTTACACAAAAAATAAAAACGGCACAATATTTTAAAACGCCTGCTCGCCTCTCTTGACTGTCTGCAAATCAAAGACAATGCACAGTGTTAGTCAGAGCTGGCTTGCGTATTTGGCAATATAGGCAAATGCCAAGTGCGCTTCAGCTTTTTTCTGCTTACCAAAGAGAATCAAGAAAGAGAATAAACACAATGGCTTTGAGAAGGTTTTATTTTTCTCTTGGCATTGCTTTATTATCGCTACGATCTAGCTTAAAAGTGACTCGGAGCGATCCGCGACGGGACCGATGCAAAGTCAGACCATAACTATGAGTGAAGAGCGATGCGGACAACCTGACCTTAATAATTACTTTGAAATCTGTGACACGAGTTTTTATTGTAGTACGCGCGAAAGAGTCTGTTTCATCTGCTGGCGTTGAGAACAAAACCGCAAGATCAACTCTTGAAATCAAGTCAGGGCAGGTTTATGGTTGCTGTCAGCGCCAACACAGAAAGGGCCTTTCCGGAGACTGTCATCTACTAACTATATTCTCTTCCAGCAGGACAAGGAGATGTCAATACACCTGACGAGGGTTAAACGGTTGCTTTGCAGAAGCAGGACTTGAGAGGTGTTGCGGCGGAATCAGTGAGTCGCTGCAGGGGTGCTTCAGGCGTGTTTGGATCAAGCGGGATGTGCACAAATCCTCTATTTGGCAACGCTGAAAAAAACAAAACAAAAAGATGCAAATACATCGCTCACTAGGATAATAACTACACTAATGCTGCAAAACACACTCCCCCCCTTTCTTTTAATCTGTGTGGCCTGGTAAAAAAATCTCATGAGATGTTCCTTGAGGCGATACTCTGACATCATTCCTTTTTCAAGCACTCTTTCAGTTACAGAAAGCAAAGCTGACCAAAATTGCTTGGCTTTAACTACGCAATTTTTTGGAATGGGGGGGTTACAGCCAAAGCAGGCCACTCACACAGTGATATCCTTGTAGCGGTCCAACGCCTCCTGGGCCACCACCTCCGGGAACTTGGGGTCGTTCCATGGGATGTCGCCCGGGACGTTCAAGTTCATGGGCGGCGATTTGAAGAGTTTGACAGACACCTTGGTGTCTGGCTGCTCGGTGTCCTCACCGGGCCTCTCCACTGGATCCTTGGTGACCACCTGCAATCACAAACAAACTTACAGACTACCCACCGTCATGCCTCAAATGAACCGCCGTGCTGCGTTGACGCCCCGACAAATTGCGAGAAGTTCTCATCGGGAGAATAATCTCGTGTATGCACCGTCTCGACTTTGAAGAAGTCATCCTTGGAGTCGGTGTTGTTTGCCAGAGACGACACCCATCCAAACTGCCTGTTGAGCAGGTCCATGACGGCGGACGTGTTGAACATGTGCTCCTCGAAGCGCTTCAGGAGAGCATTGTAGTGCTGAGTGAAGCGCTCGGCGATGGCCAGAGCTCTCTCCAGTTCTTCCTTCAGGGGACCTTCCAGGGGTTTCTTCCCGGAACAATCTGCGAAGGTAACGGGCAGTCGACAGTCATTCTGACACCCCGCCAAGGTCAGTTTTCGTTATTTTGTACATTTTTGATCAGGGTTAAATAGTCGTCATTGCATGCTAGGACGGACTCACCGACGTGTTCAATCTCTTTGCACTTCTGACACTCGTCGCGGAATTTGAGGCAGCCGGCTGAGTTGCGGCGAATCTCCCTGCAGGTCATGCTGCCGTCTCCGTAAGGTTTGGTGATGACCACGTCCTCGTTCACGCTGCCGTCTGTGAGCACGCAAAAAAAAAAAAAGCAACATCACTTTCATGTTTTGGATTCCCCCATTTCCTGTTTCCACCAATGTGGCGCTTTACAACCCCGCCGGCGTCGTCGTTGGAGAGCGTACCCTCGTTAGTGGGGGCGTCCGTGTCAAAGTCCATCATGGAACCAAAGGAGCCGAAGGGGTTCCTCCTGCCGATGCCCATCATGTTGGAGAACAAACCCTGGAAGCTGGGGAAGGGCTCATGGAAGAGTGAGTGGATGCTTCGACGCCAGCGAGATGGGAAGAAATTGGGCAGGGCGAAGACCGGCGGGTTGTACTGCACGTGATCAGCCACCTGAAAAATATTCCCCAAAATAAATAAATAAATAAATGAATGAATGAATGAATAAATAAATATATATATATATATATATTTTTTTTTTTAATCAAACCTCAGATATTTTAAAAAATGTATTAATAAAAAAACAGAAAAAAGTAAAATTTCAAGAGATAAGTATACAGTACTTTGTTTTTTGTTTTTGTAATTGTACAACATACTATCATGACAGTCACACAGTGACTACTGAGCGAACTAAATTTCCCACAGCACTGATTGGACAGGCAATGTCATGTGATCATCTGCAGCCAGTGTTGGCCAAGCGGGCATGTCATAACTAATTAACATGTTGAGTCGCGTGTGTCTTACCCTCCATGGCAGAGGCTCCGTTGAACCCTTGAGACCGACTCACCGAACCCCTGAGGTTCGATCGAACCCAGGTTAAGAACCACTGGTCTAGAACAACGTAGCAGTTGGTGTCTGCAATGCTGCCTGTTCTTTACAACAGTATCATCAATATGAGCTGTAAATACATCAGATTTCGGTACATTGAGGCCAATATCAAAACAGTATTTGCAGCAATGTCTGTTTTGCCAATTGTAATCGGCCCAATTGACTGCACTCATATTGCGTTAAGGGCACCAAGGGATGACACGTTCTCTGACGCAAATCGAAAAAATGTACACACAATTAACATCCTGCTTTATGGCTGTGAGACCTGGCCTATGAAAGTGGCTGACCAGCGCAAGCTAGAAGTCTTCGACAATGATTGCC